ACTCTAAAAAACAAACTGAGGGTTCTAGAGGGGAGGGGGATGGGAGGATGGGTTAGCCTGGTGGTAGGTATTAAGGAGGGCACGTACTGAAGGGAGCACTGGGTGTTATACACAAACAATGAATCATGGAGCACTACATCAAAAACAAATGATGTAATGTATGGTGATTAACATAACATAATAAAAAAATAAAGAGTAAAAAAAAAAAAGAAGACTGAGGCTAAGAGACAGCAGTGCCTCACCAAGCCACACACACTTGCTAGGGACAGAGCAGAGAGAAGGGTCTCAGGATCCGCCTGATTTTGAACCCTGGGCTTTTCCCCCCTCCACCAGAAGGGGTACCAGGGAGGGTCAGAAGCCATGCTGGGATCCCGGCCTCTGAGATCTGAAGATTCTGGATGCATGAACACCCAAAGGATACACAGTTCTTTTTTTTTTTTTTTTTAATTCATTTGAGAGAGAGAGATCACAAGCAGGAGGGAGACACAGAGGGAGAGGGAGAAGCAGATTCCCGACTGCGCTGGGAGACTGACATGCAGTCAACACGGGGCTCGACCCCAGGACCAGGAGATCATGACCTGAGCGGAGGGCAGACGCTTAACCATCTGAGCCACCCAGGCACCCCAGGATACACAGTTCTACACAGGATTTCAGGTTAAAATGTCTCTAGCCTGGGCACTCCATTCCCCACCACTCCAGGGAAAAGTACAGATAAATCCTGGGAAACACAGACCACAGCCTGCCACCAGAACCCCTGTCCTGCTCCCCCAGGGCTGGGTACACGCCACTCTCCCCAGCAGCTGCCTCACCTTTATCTCTGCATTCACCTCCTTCCTAATCCCAGAACTGTGTGCTCTGGGCCCGGGGAGGGAGGCGGTGAAGGCAGTGGGAGTGGGGAGGAGAAAGCCTCCTCACCTCCTGGGAGTTAAAACAGCCCTGGAAAGAAGGAGAAGGCATGACCCGTGACCCTTTGCGGGGGGGGGGTGGACAGGAAACTACAAGGGAGTCAAGAAGATCAAGAGCCGGTGACTCAAGGGTATTTAGCAACTTTGCTTGTTTACAGCGCTCTTCCTGGAGACGTGTTTCCCCTAGCCTGCCACCGGACAGACAGACGGACAGACACAAGCACCCGGCTGCCATGGCAGAGGGAAGAGCTGGGAGAGAGGAAGAGGTGCGGGGGGGCGGGGGGGTGTGAGGTGGAGTGGGGGCCCAGCACGGGGCAGGTCCCCCTCACCTGGGAGTGGCCCTCTTGCTCCTCCCTCCTGCCCAGAGCTTCTGCCTCAGAAAGCAAGCAGCTGGGCTTGAAATCAGATCTGCCAGGCCCTGTTTGGTTTCACTTCCCTTCTCCTGAGAGTGGGGTGCTCAGTGGAGGAGTGGGGACGGAGAGGACACTCCAGGCTCCCCAGAGGGAGCGGGCGGATCTGGACTCACTCCAAATGGTCTTGGCCTTGCCGGGGCATGCGGGGCAGAGGTGAAGAGCATGGACCCCAGAGCCATACGCGACCCCCACCCCACCCCAGCCCTCCCCCGGGCCTGGCCCTCAAGAGCTTCTAGCTTTACGTACTTCCCAGCGTCACTGCGAGGTTTAAATACGCTCCCACAGGCCAAGCCCTTGGCACCACACACAAGGTGGCCGCTCACCTATGTGCTATGAAGGTGCTGAGACGTGTCCTCTGGCTCTCAGTGGACACCCCCTGTCTGTACCTGGAGACGTAGGAGGAAAATTCCAGCAGCCCCAGTGACACACATCCTGGCCAAGTTCAGGACGACCCATGATTAACCTGGGACACCTACATCAGTGCCACCTGAGGATACCCCATCCAAAAGGCTCTAGGGCTGACCCTTTTCAAAGTCCTTGGAGGGTCCCTGGGATGAGGCGTTGCAGGGGGGAGGGGTCCTCCAAGCTTCTGAGGCCCAGGGGCAGACTGTAGTACCCCCACCAACCGCGGGTCCAGCAACCTGAGACTTGGTTTCTAAGCCCATCTGACTTCCTCCTTCCAGATCTTTCGTGATGCAGGAGGGAAGAGCCCAGCTTCTCTCAGACAGGACTTATACTCTTTCTGATTTCAGCTTGATTGGGGGGGGGAGGGAATGAAGCGAAGGTGGGACAAAAGAGCCCCCTGCCCTTCCTCTCTAGGATGAGGGCTGGATAACTCAGGAATCTGGGGCGCTCTGGGTGCTACCAGCAACAAATAAGGCGCAAACCCTCCACACCCTCCAGCCCCGATAAAACACCGCCTGGTTCTTTGGACCTAATCCAACTCTCAACAGAGGTGTAGAAGCTGCAGTGGAGCCCAGAGAAGGCTCCTTTTGTGTTCTCCCGGGGTCAAGGCAACAGTGTAAGGAATAGAGAAGGGTTGCAGGCAGTGGGCCCCTGAGGGTACGAAGGAGGGGCAAGGAGCAGAAGGTGGAGGGCAGAGCCTGGCTTCACGGTCAGCCCGGGAAGACCTGAAGCTGGGGTCCGGTGGGCAGCCCACCTTCAGTCACTGCAAGAACAGGGTAGACACAGGTGTATGGAGAACCTGGAGACTCCCCCAGGGAAGCCGGAGGCTGGCCCCAGCCGCCCACCCCATGGCCAGGGCAGAAGGCGGTAGCCTGAGCGGACCTGGCTGAGCGAGAGAGGCTGTTCCCGAAGACACACTCAGGCACTGCTGCCTTGCCGAGCTGCAAGCGGGCAGTGCCTAGGGGAGACTCTGATGTACGTTTCTGGAAGGGAGCCCAAGGCTCCACAAGCGGTGTATTTTAAACTGGAGCTTCGAGGACACACTGAGTGGGAATGTGGGAAAGTAACAGCTTCAACTTCCTTGGCCGCTCACCGCGAGCAGACAAGGGCCACATCCAGCCACACACCAGTCCCTCCCGGCGCGACCATCCAGCTCCCTGTCCAGAGAGGGCTGGCACGGGTCTGTCCTCCCCTGAGCACCCCAGAAGTCTTTACTAGAGCAGGACTCTGCCAGCTGGCTTCAAAGTCTGGTTCCTTTTCCCAAGGTTGAGGGAGGAGGAAAAGCCTCCAGTACATAGGTCAGAAGACCTAAGCTTGGGTCAGCCCTCTCTCAGCTTCCAGGGCAAGATTGCACAAGCCCCGTCCCTCCGCCCCCGAGCCTTCCTTATCTCTGGCATCAACCCAGATCCTGCTCCTCCAAGGGACAGACTCCTCCCTCCCCACCTAGGGCCAAGCTCCTCTGAGCCTGTGGAACGTCCAGCCAAAGGAAGCTGGACACGCTGCCCGGCAGGAGTCCTGGGCTCTCCACTCCCACCAACCCAAACCAGCGAAGGGAAGAAAGACTGGGTGGGAGAGTGGGGGAGGGGGAGAATGAGAAAGAGAAAGCAGACGAGGGAGCCCGGCCAATATCAAACACCTTGCCTGCCACACCGGGGCACAGCCTGTCCCGGCCCACAGAAATCAATCAGCCCCTCCAAAGGTGGAGGGGGTTGGAATCCTTGAAGCAGAGCCAATCCGGGGCCCTTCTGGGAAAGCGCCTGACTTGTCAAGAAGGGTCTAAGATTCCTCTCCCAGGTTGACATCCGCCCGGGGTGGGGGTGGCGGATCCAGCCCATTTTGTAAATAAGACTCTCCTTCGCTTGGGACTCCGTGGGCTCCAGTCCTGTTGAGGGCTGGACGGTCAGTCTCTAAGAGGCAGCAGGGACAGAAGTCATTTGGGGTCTGCACACTCGATTGGGAGGAGCATCAGTGGGTGGGCACGTGTAAGAGAGAAATGAAAGAGAAAAAGAGGAGTCAAGAGAAAAAAGGGCAGAAACCTCAGATAATGGAAAGAATGTTCCAAGCAGAGGCATGAGCTAGGGAGTTTAATATGAACCCTGGCTCATCAACGAGCAAGGGTCTGTGATCTCAGGGAGACATCAGGGGGGCTGGGATTCACCCCAAATCGCCACCTCTTGGGAGCAGACTCACTTTATCACACCAACCCACTCCCAGTCCCTGCGTGGGTCACCAGAGACCCCTGGGAAGACCAGAACCCACTGGGATATCTCCCCTAGGTTCACCGAAGCCCCCCGCTGTGGAAAGCAGCTGCTGTGCTCAAGGAGGAGAGGGGCGAAGTCCACATTTGGAGGAGATAAACCACCCTAATCAGTTAGTCACATGGGCAGCTCACACAGGGCAGCTGGTGAACACTGGAGCCCACATGGCACCCCCACACTCGGGGCAGGGTCCTAGCTACCGCACAGGGATGGAGCCTCCCAAGACTCCAGAGGATGCCCCATTCTTGTTCTGGGAGCCTCGGAGCCACCTAGAGGCCTGGATGGGCCCAGCCTTGGGCCCGCAAACTCCCCATTTCTGGGGGAAATCCACAGCTCGGCTTCCCCTTCCTTTGTGCCCTGTTCTTTGTTCTCTTAAAATTCAGTCCATCCTGCTGGTGGTCCCCTCCTCCACCCCAGCCTCAGAAAGGGGGCGGAGGCGGCGGGGAGTTATTAGAAAGCCAGACTGTTCGAAGAAGTTGCATTATAGGAGGCCCTCCCGCACCCGGGCCCCTCATTGTTTACGCTGGCTGCAGGGGGGAAGCTTTCCCTGGTCCAGATGGCTGCTGAGGGTAAGGATGAGGGAGAGCCTCCCTCCAGCACCACAAACCCTCAAGAGCGGAGCAGCAGGCTTCAGCGGCTCGGGGACCCCTTCCGCTTTCAACCGCTCCGATACACACGGGCAAAGAATGGGCGCCGTGGACTCAGCGGAGGGCGTGGGAGCCAGTCAGATTGCAAAGGGTGACAAGAAAAGAGAAAGCATTGTATTTCCCCTCCATTCTCCCAGGGACAGAAAGAAAACTGCCCAAGCCGGGGCTGCAGTATCTCTACGGGAAACACCAGGAATCTGGTTTGAGTTAGCAGAGCACCCCTCCCCCAGCCACACACACACACGCACACACGCACGCACACACACACACCCCGCTCCGGCTCAGTCCTCTCCCAGGAAGCCCGCCCAGCTACAGCCAGCCCTCCAACCCCGGCTCCGGGTTCCAGCCCGGCTCTCCCGGTCCCGCACTCACCCGCGGCGGCCCAGGCCGCAGGGCAGCTGGTGGGGGACGCACCGGGGACAGGGGCAGTTTTGTACCCCCGGCTGGGGGCGCTCCGGGGAGGGGGCGGAGCCAGAGACGGCCGACCGCGGCTCCACCGCCCCCGGCGGGTGATTAAATCATTAACCGACCGCTCGCGGCCGCCGGCCTCGCCAGCAGCGCTTGGCCCCGGGCGCACCCGGCGCGCCAGCCCCGCGCGTAGCCCCTTTCCCGGGGCCGCTGGCTCGGCTGCGCCCCACCCCGCCCGGAGGCGCCGCGGCCTCTCCAGCCCGGGCCTCTCCCGCCGCGGCCTCCAGGTCTTCCGAGGAGGCGGGCGGGGGCGGGCGGGGGCGGGGGAGTATTTGTTTCCTCGGCCGGTCCCTTCCAAGCAGCTCCTTCCTTCTTTTCTCCCCGCCCGGTGACACTGGGTGGCGTGTGCTGCAGTGTGTGTACGAGAGCGAGCGCGTGTGTGCACGCCTCCGCCACTACAGGCGAAGAATTCGGTTCTTATTCACGGAGAACTCCGTGCGCACACACGCCCCCCCTCGCGGAAACTGCGGGCGGCGCGCCGCGATGGTGGTGCCCCTGCCCACCCCGGCGCACACCCCACTCCCCGGCAGCGGGCAGATCTTTAAAGCCGGGGACCCCCCCCCCGCCCCGTGTCACCCGCTCCAGCAGCGCCTGGGGCCGGACGCCGAATCCCAGTCTGCGCAGAGGAAATCGAGGCGGAGCGCGGCTTCCCCGGCTCTCGGCCGCCCCTCCTCCCCAAAGCCCGATCGGCTCGGACACGGGGTGCGCGGCTCCGGGTCCCAAGCACCCGGGCCGCCCCGCACGCGCCCCGGCCCGACCCTTCCACTCGGGGGCGGGCGCAGGAGTGTGTGTGTGGGGGGGGTCTCTGAGCCCTCCTCCCCGCCCCTCGGCCCCCTCTCGAGGCGTTTTCCATCCTCTCCGCCCCTCTGGGGGCTTCAAGCCCACCCAGGCCTCGCAGGGCGCAGGCGGCTGTCGCCTACCTGGGTCCCCAGAGACGCGAGCGCCCGGCCGGCGCGGCTGCGCTGTCCCCTCCGTGGGCTCCGGGCGGCACCGGGGCTGGAGGCCCATGTCAGCGCCGGCGTCGGTTTCCCTCTGGCTCTCGGGCTTTCTGGGCGGCGAGCCTCCCGGACACTCCCCTCCCAGGCTCCTCCCGCGCCCTCCCTCCCGCGCCCTCCGCGCTGAAGTCACGGCGCCGCCGCAGCCAATGGCGGCTGCGAACCCCCGCCCGGCCGCTCGGCCTCCGCGGTTCAAATCGGCCAGTGTGAGACCGTCGGAGCTCCGAGTGGGGCGGCCGGGGCGGCCGGGCCGGGGTGGGGAGGGAGGGCGGCCGGAGCCGGGCCGGTGGGGTCCCGGGGAGACCCGGCGGTGGCCAGGAACCAGTGCCCCCCGCCCCCTGCCTGCCGGCCCGGCACCGACGGGAGAGCGGAGCCCGGCGGTCTGCGGCGCCCAGGCCGTGGATTCGGTCCCGGACTCTTACTGGAAGCGAGAGGGCCGGGGAGGGGGCGGCCCCAGGCCAGCCCCGGAGCCGGTGTAACAGGGGCTTTGGGCGGGGTCACCTGGCTTTGATCGGCCAGCTTTCCGGAGGCCTGAGTCCTGGGCCTCCTGAGCATCCGCGGAGACTAAGTTCTGCTCGGAGTGAACCTGTAGGACGATGAACTCCTGAGTCCCAGAGGAGCAGGCCTTGGGCTCGATTCACCGAGGAATAGCTTCCCCTTGTAAATGGTTATTACCAAAGTAATAAACGCCAGTGGGGAGGTGCTGCCCAGGAAAGTGGACGAGGCGCATTGTGGCAGTTCCCTTGCTGTGGCAGCTAGCTTCCCTGGGTTTTAAAGCAAGTCAGGAGTGGCGGCGGGGGAGGGGGGGGAGGGTGGCATGCGACTCTTGATCCCGGGGTTCCACCTTGGGTGTAGAGGTTACTTAAAAATACTTTTTAAAAAAGTAAAAATAAATAAAGCAAGTCAGGCCGTGGTAGTGTGAGGGCTGCAGACTCCCTCCGCTCCCAGCCCACGTGGCTTTCCGTGGGATCCTGCCGTGGGATCCTGCCGTGGGCCCCTTTGGGCTGGTGCCTTACCCCACACTGCTGACAGCTGTAAGCTCTTCAGCCCCGCTACTGGCGGTCCTGAAACCACAGCTTAGTCTTCTCTGTCTGGAGAAAACTTACCTGATTCGCTGGGGCACCGCCCCCGCCCCCTCCTTCCCTCCATTTTTAACACATTATTTTGTCTTTTAGGGTCAGCTGTTCAGCAATTTGTTGTCCTTTTTACAGGTGTCTGGGGTTTGCCCTTCCCAGTTAGATTACACAGCAATTAAGCATACCTCCAGGACAAAGTCCTCACCCCTTTGTAATTCTGCCCTCCTTATCAGAATTCAGTGCGTGCGGTGCCGGGGAGGCTCCTTCCTCAAGCATTTGCCATTCATTGTGGTTTGCCTTTGGGGCAAAGATGTGTAAAACCCAACCCTGCCTTCAGGATGCCCACAGGGGATGTAGGCTGTCTCTCCGCCTGCCCCCCACCCCCCACCCCAGGAGCGTGGTAGGTGCTGCTAGACGGTGGTCCCCACTGCACTGCCAGGACCCTGGTGGGGAGGCTTGATTGAAAGACAGTGTTAATTGTCCCTGATGTTCATGGTCCCAGACCTGTGAATTTCTAGGGGCCTTTGCCTCCTAAGTATCTACTGAGGCTAAGTTTTGCTCCAACCTTTCAGACCAGAGCTGTCTACTGATAATCCGTGCGCACAGCCCGATCGGCTCGGACACGGGGTGCGTGTGAGGAGGAAGTTAGCAAAATGAGGAACTTGAAGCTTGAATAGCTACCTTGAAATTTCTGGCAAGCTCTAAGCCCCTGACTTTGGAGAGGGATTTGAGGTCTTAACTGCACCTTCGCTGTAACTTGACCTATAAGCTTTTAGGCCTGGGCGTGTGTCTCTGCCTGTTGGAGCTGCTGGGACCTGCGCTGAGGGTTTGTGTTCACGTGCTCCTTAAACTGCATGGGCCTGCCCCACCGCCGCCTCCCAAGGCACCCACCCATCCCAAACACACACCTCCGTGCTTTATTAACATTGGGTTCTGGGCATCTCAGTTCATATTCTTTTTTTTTTTTAATTTTTTTTTTAAAGATTTTATTTATTATTTGAGAGAGAGAATGAGAGAGAGAGAGCACATGAGAGGGGGGAGGGTCAGAGGGAGAAGCAGACCCCCTGCTGAGCAAGGAGCCCGCTCCATCCCAGGACTCCAGGATCATGACCTGAGCCAAAGGCAGTCGCTTAACCAACTGAGCCACCCAGGCGCCCACAGTTCATATTCTTTTGCCCCAGCTTTCAAGAGAGTACGTTACATTAGGTTGCTTAATCCTACTTCTGTTACTCTAGTCAGGTTTGCCCTAAAGTATGACTCTGGGCAGGTCATTTTACTTTCTGGAGGGACCTGACCTATGGCCTCCCATCTATATCCTGAGTCCCCTCACCATTTTCCCCCCACTGAGGTTAGCCAAGGTGGTCCAGGGTGGACCCCTCAGCGCATCACCAGGGCCTGAGGTGGTCCAGGGTGGACCCCTCAGCGCATCACAGCTTGGAGCCTTGGTGATCTGAGACCCTGCCCACCCTTGGCTATTCCTGCCCACCTGGCTGGGCCGGGGCTCTTTCATGCCTTGGTTCCCTGCGCTAGGGAACCACCTGGAGCCCTTTCACAGGGCCGGGGGGAAACTCTGCCATGCAACCTGGCAAGATCCCCAGGATACCAGGCTACTGGCAGAGAGCCTGCCGTCAGGGCAAGGCCCTTCACCACCTTGGGGGAAAGTCTGCCTCTGGGGTGGGGGCTCTTTTGCCCCAGGCTCCAGGGGCATAAACCCCCTTCTGAGGGATTTAACCCACATCCGGGCTTTGGGGCAGCCAGTGTACCCAGAGAGGAAACCAGCAATTCATCCCCACAGGCTCTTGGGGACAGGATGGTGTCTGGTAGGTGTTGGAATCTCCATTGTGGGTTGGCATACGTACATTGGGCAGATGCATGGATGAGCAGAGTCCAGAGCCCTGTATCCCTCTCTTCTCCCACCTGCAACCCCAGCCTTGAACTGAGCTCTGGCTGGTGACCCCACGGTGACCTCGCTGGGCCATCCCCAGGGTCAGGGATCCTCCCAGGATGGCAGGTCCCAGGGCTCAGGGGCTGAGGGAGGCGCTGTATCTCAGAGGCCCCCTGGCCCTCCTTGGTGAGGGAGACACGCTGCTCACCAGGCTGGGGACTCTCTGGAGGCACGAGGTGGCAGTCGGCTTGAGCTGGACCTGAAGAAGGTGATGAGGTGCGGTCAAGGGGTGGGGACAGAGCAGAGAGGCCATGGAATTTACTGGAAATGAGTCCAGATGTGGGGTCAGAACATCAGGGTTGTGTGACCTTGGGGGAGTCACTTAGTCTCTTTGAGTCATATCTGTAAGGAGGGGACAACAACAGTCCGACCTCAGGAGTTTATCAGAAGGATGGAAGGAGATAAAGCATGTGACCTTGCTTTGTGAACTGTCAAGTCCAAAGTAAGGGACCCTGGTTTCTCTTATTGTTGTTAAGTCAGACTTTAGCCTCTGGGTCCCCTCCTCTATCCTGCCACGGGAAAAGACAGAGAGCGCCCCCCTCCCCCTACTAGGGGTTTTGTATGTCACTGTGCATTGTCCGGTTATTAACATGCTGCCCCTGACCACTGAGCTGGGACATTTCCAGGGAGGTGGGAGATGATATGAAATACCTTGTTTATCTGGGAGGGAGAAAAGGATGGGCAAAAAAGATACAGTCAGGGTTGCCGGTTCTTCAGAAAATGAGCATAGACTTCAGCTAAAGACAGTGAGTCTCAGAAGCAGGGACCCTGGAAGGAATGTTTCATGTGGTCTCCAGATTTCTGAAGCCCAGCGCTTCAACCACCAATGACAACCCCCCCCTCCACCCCCGGGGAAAAGCAAGAAACGGAGGGCTCCTCTCTTGGCGCTCCGAGGACCTGCAGGTCCCGATTGGGAAAGCAGATGCCTGAGGCCCATGTGGGTTCAGATCCCAAATGTCACTGTATGACCTGAAAGAAGTCACTTGAGTCACTTGGAGTTGGCATGAGGTTGGTAGATAATGCAGGCCAGTGTTCAGCATCAGGCTGGGGCCCCACGAGGGCTCCCAATGTGGACGCTGGCTGGTCTCAAAATGCAGGGCTCAAGTTAGACCTCTGGGACTAAGTTTGTTCCTGAGCGTCTTCCCCCTTGAGCAGAGAGTGGGCCCATTCCATCAGTGTTTCCCAGAATCGAGCTAACAGAAAGAGAATGAATGACATTATCTATAAGAGGCAGTCTTGGACTTCTGATAAAGGAGTCGGTCGGGCTCGGGGTGGCCGGGGAGGGGCTCTCCCAGAGCTTTCTCTA